GTGACTGTGAGTATTCTAAAACTTAGAAAACCTTTAGGGGCCCCCCTTGATGTGGTTTGTACGAACCCTTCCTTTAGGTCCTTGTAGTAACTTCAATTTTATTAGAATTATTTTTGTTTTATTTTAGATCCCCAAATTCCTTTTATACACGCGAAAAGTCCTAAGGGTTAGTGATAACAAAATTTTTTACCTTATACAACACTAGTGACACTTAAGGATAATAATTATGGACCAAGTCTTAGAAAACCTAGACTTAGAATGCATGTACACTTTAGGGTAGAGACATATAACATAGAAAACTTAGTGACATTCATTTTATTATTATTACTATCATTATTATTATTATTATTATTATTATTATTATTTTATTTTTATTTTTACTTATTTATTTAACAAATTAAATTTAATTAATTAAAATTTTTCTTTTAAATAATAATTGATTTAGAATATATCAAAACCACACTTTTCTAATACACATACTTAGAATTGTTTGCTAAGACAACCGACTCTAGTTTTAAGTTAGGTCGGTGTTTATTTCCTTACTGCATTGTGACGTTTTTTCTCGGCTTTCATTGCATGTTGGTTGTAAAATTGTTGGTATGTTTGTCTATTTACTTTTATTGTACTCTGAGATGTGATTTGTTTGACGATTAGATTACTCGTAGGTTAAGAGTGATCTGGTTGTTAATAAAATGTTTTGCAGGTGGCCACACTCATGCAGGGCAGTAAAGAGGGTGCTTAGCCCTAAAATAAAAAGGAGTGTGGCCAAGTGTGGCTAATTGATTTAATTTAAATACATATATATAACTACTTGGGATGATTTTTTTATATAAACTGCTTAGGATAACCTTGCAGGTGGTCTAGATTTTCATTTTTTTCTGTGAAATGCAATGTAATGTAAATGTATTTGAAAAATATGAAAGTGATTTTGAAAGTGGGATATCACATCATATTTGGAATTCAAAGAAAAGAGAATATACCTTAAAGGATTATTCTCTTTTATTTAGAAAGCCATATTAGGATGATTTTAATATCCAAATAGAAAAGAAAATACCCCTTTTAGGGATGAGTTTCTTTTCATTTAGATATTCAAGCCCGACAGATCCAAGGAGTTCATAAAAGAAGAAAGGATGAAATGAGAAGATGGAAGAAAGAAGATGAAGAAATGAAGATTCAAGAAAGAATATATCCCATTTCAAAAAAATCACTTACGTCATTCTTAGGATTAGAATCCGGGTTTGTTGTAAGTGGTGCCCGGCCACTTTACTTTTCTGCAAATTCTGGGTGTAATATGGACATTGGACATTGGATATTATAATTTTGGATTATTAAATTTGATTTTTTTATATTATTTGTGCAGTATCTTTTTTTGGACTCTTGTATGCCGTGTTTTGTTTTAGCCTGGATACGAATCGGAGTGCTTTTTTTCGTAAGGGTACGCTTAAAATTCTTCTACTTGTAATTTTAATAAAAAAATTTAGGCTCACATAGTAACTCTAACGATCTAAGAAGTAAGCTCGGGACCGCCGAGAGTCAGCATAAGCATATTAATACTTTCTCTTCCTTGTTAGGCACCTCCCCGCCTGTGGGTTCTGGCAGACCACTTGACCTATGAGGGTGTAGTTCTGTCAAGGGGAAGTTGTCCAATCTCTAGGGAAAAACCTATTTTTTAAGCCTAATTTTAAAACTGTTTCATATTCATTTTATGCATTCGAGTCAATTAGCATGCATTGCATTAGATACAAATTAAAAAGAGTCTAAAATATTAATTATATTTTTAGACATTTTTCACCCTACATAAGTTAAGGGGCCAATTAGGATCTGTCTTAGATGTCAGCCCTTAATTCCTTAAAACTTAAACAACATCCCTACCTATCTTTCATAAGAGACTGGATACATGGTTTTAAAGCGCTTAGGTGGTTAGCTGGCTCCCCAATCCTGGCCGGGGTAAGTCCAGATTTACATTCCATTAGTTAGGTTCGGGTCACTATTTTATAGTACCCAAATTAGATTTAAGTTCTGAGATAGATTCTTTTTAGATCTTAAGTCCTCGCCCTCCGGGAATATAATCCCAAATTTCTAATAAAATGTCAACTTAAACATGAAATTTCTCTCTTAAAATATAAAGCCCAATATAGGGTAGACTGAGGTCGCCTCTGAGTTTTTTAGAATCCGGCACCTCCTACTTTTCCTCCTTCGACTCGCTAATAAATGTTAAACATTGAGCTTTCTCCTTGAAAATTCTTTACTTCTGTTCATTGTCTTCTACTTTGTAGTCAAAAGGGTATGAAATCATTGCTTTAATCAAGAGTTTTCTTATGAGCATCCCTCCTAAGATATAATTAACTATAGGAGCTTGCTCTTATAGGGATTTGAGAACCCCAGATTAAAATAAACCTTGTTTTATTCATATAAAATAAGGGAAGAATATTTGGGAAAGCAGATGTCTTTAAAACTTCATTTCTAATTTTAAATATATTTGTATGATGTTATTATTATCTTTTCAGATAATATAATATCTTGCTTACTATATTCAATTTTAGAAATGATGAATTTTATAAAATATATTATTATTTTGGATATCTTGAAGAATATTATGTTCGTCTTTCAAGATAATATAATATTCTCCTTGTTATATCTAAATAAAAGAATAGATAAACTTTTTTCAAAAACTTATTTCTATTTTTAAACATATTCTATAGAATTTTATATTCATCTTTCGAGATGATATGTTATTCTTTGAACTATGTTTGATCATAGAAATATGTCTTTTTAAAACCCTATTTTGATATTGAATCCATTGTAGAATATTGTGTCAGTCTTTCGAAATTGTACTTTATTTTTAATGCAATATTTGATTACAAAATAGGAGAAATCAAAATCTGCGTGGTGACACAAGTTTTCCCACCAGCCACTCCCTATGCACCAGTGTTCAAAGTTCAAGTAGTGCTGCCACTAAAGATTGAGCTACAGTCACTTCGGGTAGCTGTCAAGCATGATCTCACTCAGGAGCAAAAAAACTTGCCTGATAATGAAGGATCTTGATGCACTGGATGAAATTAGACTGCAAGCTCAATAGAACCTAGAGATTAATTTATTGAGCAAGAATGGCTAAATACTTTGATTGGATGGTGCGCCACTGAGCATTTCAGGAAGGAGAGTTGGTCTTAGTGTTGCAAAGGCCAATCATCTCTCATTCAAGCATTGGTGGAAAATTTGAATCCAACTGAGGTCCTTTTGTCATCAAGAAGGTGTATTGGAGAGGAGCTTATCAACTTATCAATCTAAATAGCTAGAGGCCCATGCCGCCGATCAACAATCGATATCTGAAGAAATATCATGCATACAGTTTACCCAAGAAAATTATGTATTTAATGTACTCTATAATAATTAAAGTAATATATGCATGTTTTACAATATATATATATATATATATATGTTGTTGTATAAGAAAATAATTCAAGCATCATGTGAAAATTCTCCAATTAAATAGGGGACATTTTTTTAGTTTTATAATTAAAACCTCTCTAACTTTCGAGATAGACATGGAACATTTTAAATATGTATTTGAGTCAACATTATGCCACATGTGGACACCCCCAAATAAATATTTAAAATCATTAAACGTAAAGTTTATCTAAGCCTTCCTCATAAGACATGGGCATTTTAAATATTTATTTGGGTCGATATCATGCTTCATGTCGAGATCCCCAAATAAATATTTAAAATCATCAAATACAGACATTACTTTAAGAAAAAGAATACGATAATTTTTTTATGATATGTGTATATGTAGGTGATTCTTCAAAACTCAAGACATCACCTTCTTCAACATGCCATGACTTTGAAGGCCAAAAAATAAAAGTTTTTTAGCTACACACTCTAACAAGTCAAGTTAGAGTGGTATAAGCTCTTTTGCATCCTGAAGCTAAAGTAAAAATGGGTGTATAAGGCCAAATTCAATAAGCTCAAATATGATTGAATCGCTGGTAGTTTAGTCTACTCAATAAGCCATAAGAAAGATCGTGGTAAATGAACTCCATTATATCAGTCGTTAGTAAGGATTATTAGAAGCACATAAGCTTATTTGACTCGACAAGTTTAAGTAGTTATAGTCTACGATATTCTTTTAATTGATCGAAAAGTCAAGGTTACAGTGGGAAGGAAGAGTCTTAACCAAGGTAGCTACCGAATATGCATAAGCTCTGAGATCTCAAGCCATGAAAGATAACTTCACATCTTCAAACTTCAATAAATTTAGCTTGGAAAGCTCATTTCTCCGCATCTTAAGTTTAAAGCCTAAACTGGCACATGAGGTCAGACTCAACTAGCCACGAGGTGGCTGAGTCATTGGCAGCTCTATCTACTCAACAAGTCATAAGAAAGGATGTAGTAGAGAAACCCCCGTTTTAGTAGTTGAATGACGAAGAGATGTTAAATCTTAGCTCACCCAATCTGATAAGTTCAAGTAACCGATATTAAAGTCATCTTGACTCATTAAAGGCTAAAATATTACCTACATTTGGTGCTACTAATCGAACCTAAAACATGTAAACTCTTTAACAAGTAAGTTAAAGCACTAAGGGAATGACCAAAGATATTATCTAAAAGGTCACAAAAAGCCTTAAGTTGAATTAAAAGAATTTTCATTATCAACAAGTCTATTGTGCTTAAAGCACTTGACAAATGTCCTCTCGCCGTCGACATAACGTAAATCTAAAAGGTTTAGGTAACCAAAATTTACACCTTCATAAAACCCGCCAAAGTAAGAAGCAAAGGGCATAAGGCACATAAATCTCCTGACATGCTAGTAAGGATAATCAGTTAATCATTCACCAAGGTCCACCGTACAAAGCACAAGGAAGATGGAACCTAACCTCAGGACTCAAACTAAAGCTCTGAAGAGAGTGCAACTGCTAACTCTAATGACTGTTTGAAGTTATGAGCATAATAACCACAAGAGTCACAAGAGCAATAAAAGAACTCATAAACAACTAAAATCACAAAATTAATTTCTTTTATTGATTCAAAATTCACATATATAAATGTGAATTTACATCTTTTTACAAGCTTAAATAAGCCAACAAAAAGAAAAAGAGTATATTATCCTTCAGAGAGGACTGAAGTCTATCTCCTAAATCTATGTCTGAAGAAGAAGTCGGCAGCTTCGCTCTGCTCCTTTCAAAGACTGGACACTCTGCACTTTTAGAACATGCACAAAGCAATAGAAGCATCAATAGAAAGAAAGGAGAGAAATTATACCAATATGTATAAAGCTACAATGTAAAAGTATACCTAAGAGGAAACTTTATATGACAACTAACTAGTTGGCATATGGCTCATCCAGGAACCTGTGCAAAGTAACAAAACATCGATATGCAAAAAGAGGAAATGCAAATGTAGAGGAAGAAAAATGGAAACTTGAGTTGGAAGTAGTTGTAAGAGATCGGAGGCAACAAATTCATGCTAGCTGGTGAATCTATAAAGCTGAAGAAAACTATAAACGATACCTGTAATTATATAACAAAAATATTATATTTATATATATGATTGCAATAATGAAAAATATAGATTTTATGCAAAAATGTTGAAATCTAAAGTGGTGGCGGTGGTAGAAGAAATTAAGAGGTGGCAATGCTATCTACTTGCGGCAACTTATAAAGTGATGCACTAAAGATCAGCATGAAGTGTTGTGTCACTATCACATGGGTCCCTACTTAACTAAAGCCAACATGTCAATTTATTTATGGATACGTCTAAAAACCTATAAAGACAAAGAATTAGTATGATGCCAAGACACTGACTCCCAGAAATCCACAAAATAAAACCCTCTATGTGGAACAATTATTACGTCCTCCGACCGAATGTAGAGAAACATTCGGTCGCAGGCAAAAATCGCGCGGTACCGAGGTGTACCGAGTTTTTCAAAAAACTCGGTACACCTCGGTACCGCGCGATTTTTGCCTGCTACCGAATGTTTCTCTCATTCGGTCGACCGAACCAAATAAAACTTCCTCTATGTGATACCCAAAATAAATATTTGGAGATACACATGATCAATTAGCATGTAATAAACATGATTTACTCAAGACGCATACCATATTTATTAGCGGTCTTTATTGACTTTTACAAATAAAAAAATCTTTGTTACCTCTATCGTTTTTTTTTTTTTTTGGGACATTTAGGCCACACACAACGCATACACATAGACTCGAACCGTAGACCTCTTAGTTGGAAGCCTTAGCTCTCAACCAATAGACCAAAGAGAGTTGTGTTTACCTCTATCGTTCACCTTGCCCAAAATCCTTCTCACGTCTCGCACAAATCCCTGCATATTTAGCTTCCTCAGCTTATCCCTGCTCTGTGAAAATGTCTCCTCGCACTAGCCTTAATCGCTTGTCCACTCTTGTCATCGTTAAAATGAAACAAAAATTTGAAGTCAAAGGCTTCTTCTTCGGCATGCGATATCCCCCTCTCTACTCCCTAACGTTCTTCATCCCTCTCACAATCGAGTCGCTACAACTCGCATACCTTCGATCTATCACCCTGTTCGAAGACCTTGCCCGTATTTTTCGACCTCTTCTCCTCTTCCCATAGCTTCCATGACTCGAACTCGTGAACCGCACTCCTCTCTGTTCCTCCAACCTACCTCACTAACCTCTGATACTCGCAATTCGACAAAACTTGCTTCAAAACCACCCCTATATGATGCCTAGATCTCCCGCATCCGCCTCCTCTACTTCGGCGAAACACCCCAAACTGCCCAAAGCCGATCCAATCGCTCCAACCTCCATCCCGACTAGGCCACCCGCACTCGTCGACCTTCCCCGCACACGTCTTTTCCTCACAACTGAACCCAATTAGTCGCCGATGTGCATTACCTGATCTCCCGTGCTCGGCTCCTACCTCAACACTCCGTCTAATCCTCCCTACGAAGCTGACCTCCCTTCTCTGTCATTTGCACACCACCCGTACATCAAAGCATAATTAAACCCCTTTAATATGCCAAGCACCTCACTACCTCTTTTGGTTTCATATCTGATCAACACAGCTGCTTCATCTACCTCACAACCAGACAACAGCCCAAGGTGATCATTCTCTCCCACTTTAATATTTTGATATTAATTGCATTAATTATTATTATTATTATTATTATTATTATTATTATTATTATTATTATTATTAATTACTAATATTATTATTCTTATTCAAAAAATAGAAAAAAAAAAAAAAGACAAGAGGAAGAAAGGAGACAAAAAAAAGTTCAATAAGAAAAAAAAAGATAGAGAAAAATAAAAAATGCGCGAAAGAAGTTTTTTTTGGGTGATTTTCACCGCCATCATTGCCTCAAGATCATCATCATCGCCATTTTCTTACAAGTATGACTCCAAAGATAAAAAAACACTAAATCCTATTTTCAACAATCATAACATGCCAGGGAACACCCATACACACTCTTGTAGTGTGGTGGGAGGGAGTCCAGTGCGGTACTTGCGGTGAGGCGAGTAGACACTGTAGCATGGCAGGGACAATACGTACTCGTGTATGTGCTTCAGTGCTTGCAGGGAAATAAAATTACGCATTTCAAATAAGTGCCTCGAAGAATCATACATGCTCTATTAATATGGTGGGATTAAAGAACTACGACCAAAGTGTCGTCTGACACCTACAAAACATGATTTTCTCTAGCGTGTTGGGAAGGCCTAACTTCCAAAATTTCTCCTCAGCTGGGGAGATGCCATGAGACGAACAATTTTTTTAGTGAATAGTGGACTTGACTTGAACAAAATACAGTGAAATGAGCTTGAAAATTATTGAACAATAGGGAACCAAACTTCCACAACAAGGAACCAAACTTGAATAAATGCATAAAATAAATCTATAATTCACAAAATGACAAATAATTAAACACAAATAAACGAACAAAGAACTTATGATGGACAAATATCTTACAAACACAACTTGCTTATAAGCGATGATAAAATTGTAGAAAATGTAACCCGATTACAAGTCATAACATGGAACTCTTGAACAATGATAATTGACTTGCAATGTTCATCTCAAATCATGCTTATAAATAAATAGATATAACCACAAAGAATGATGTAAGTACTAGTAACCTATAATGAATGTAACAACACCCTGCATTCGATATCAACATAAAAACATGCATATGACACACACAACAGTTCATTTACAATACGTTGCAAAGAGCATGCAAGTGTTTATAGGAGACAACTCAAGATGTGCAAGTGAATACAATAATAAGCCAACTAACAAGTATGGGAGATCATCGATGAATGCAGCCCACCCAGTAACTCACATTAATATGCAATGAATGCTACGACATCCATCCAATCAAAGCTGGCTAGCTTGCATATGCATATGACAGCCTCTTACGAACATGAACCTGGTATGTAATGAATGAAGCAACTTGTCATCCTACATACTATTTATGTGAGTATGAAAAAGTTGTTTGAAAGTTACTTTTTTTTTCAGAGAATTTAATTTCTTGAATTTCAGTTTTAAATTTGAACACATCATTATGATTGATATATTTCCTCGAGAGGCAAAAAACTCACTCCCTAATGGGTTCAAAATATAAAACTATAGGTTTATCCTTATTATCGTAACCAAATTCAGAGAAGAACCACATATGACCTTAGAGGGTCAAATTGATGTTTGATGTCGTATTTTACTATGATAATTTGGATAAATGATCATTAATCTCATAACAAAAGTCATGAAAATAAAGCGATTTATCTTCTTAAAGAAAGAAGATATCGTTCACTATCAATCATTTGAATATGATGATAATGATTATCATTAATTTTGATTTTTTCAAACAAAGTTAATTATGTTTTTGAAAAAAAATGTATTTTGAAAATTGATATAGGTTCTTTAGATCTCCTACGATTACAAGCCCCATTTCCTTTGAAGACTATTGATTAAAATAATGATAGAAATTTCATTTTGGGTTTTTAAATATAGATATAAAGGAGTAATGTTTGAAATTCAAATGGGATTGGATCAAATTTTGAAAACATATTCTTGAGGTCAAAGGATGAAAGGTAGCTGCTTTTTGGATTTTGAAACATTTCAGAAACACCCTAATTTACCCTATCTATTGGGCTTTAAGTTTTGGCTTTAAGATTTTTTTTTTTTTTTAATTTGAGATGATCAATTTATTAGAATGGTGGGATTATATTCACAGAAGATGGAGACTTATGATTTTGGGTCTACCCCAAAACCTAGATCAAAATTTGGGCACTAAATAATAATGGCCCAAACTTAGCTAATGCAACACATAACTTGAATTACCCCAGCCTGTATTAGGAGTCAGCTAACCACCTAAGTGATTAGAATCTATGTGTCTAGTTTTTTTATGAAATATAGGTAAAATTTTTATAAAGTTTTGAGGAGTTCGAACCAACATCTATAGCATATCCTAATTGGCCCCTTAATACATTTCGTGTGATTTGATGCTTGAAATAAGATGTAATTAAAATTTTGACTCTTTTAAATTTATTCCTAAATCAATACATGTTAATTGACTCCATGAAATGCATAAAATTGAATATGAAGAAATTTAAAAACAGGATTGAAAATAAATTTTATCCTAAAGATTGTACTGCATCCTATTGATAGAACTGCATCCTAATAGGTTAGATGGTCTATTAAAACCTGCAAGCAAGGATGTGCCTAACAAGAAGGAGAAGAATTCAATATTAATGCATAAAATACTTTTAGCATTCCCGAGCTTACTTCTTAAAATATTAGAGTTTTTATTTTAGCTTTAAAATTTTAATTTATTTGAGTAGATGAATTTTTTTTAGCATACCCTCACTAAACTTTGATCGAATCCAAGCTAAATTAAAAAAAAAACATGAAATTAAAAAGCTAAAAAAATATGTCATTTCTACTGCACAATAAATGTAAATTAATCAATCAAATTAATTAAATAAACTCAAAATCTATGTATTAAGTGTCACTTAATATTGCAACCAAGGAACTGCAAAAATCAATACTGGTCGGATACCACTGACAATAACCTGGATTATACTCCTAAGATTGATACAAGAGACTTTGAGAATAGAAATCTTCTCGATCTTTATTTTTTTGTCCTTTTACGAGCTCCTTGGATTCATCAAGTTCAGATATCCAAATAAAAAGATCGATACTCCTCCCTTAAAGGATGTTTTCTTTTTTCTTTGGATGTTTTAAGTCATCCTAACTTGGATATCCTAACTGTTTCAAATACCACTTTTACATTACATTTCAAATGCAATTACATGACATTGAAACTTAAAAGAAAAACAAGACTCAATTACAACCTCCAAGGTTATCCTAAGTAAATAAAATCAATAATCTAATGTAGTTATATATCATTGAATTGGTCAATTTCAAACATAATTATACTTGGTCATGCTCTTTTAATTTCAAGGGGCTTAGCATGCTTAGCACATGCAAAAATTGTGTTCATTAAATTTTAATTTTGCCACCTTAATTTTATAGACCTATATGAGCACGGGCACTGTAGAAGATTATGTGAGCATCCAGATCATTTCTAAACTAGGGGTAATCTAACATCCATCATATCAATTCACAAATTATAATAACATTTAAATAAATAAACACATCAATCAAATACTTTTACAACCAACATGTAGTGAAAATCATAGAAAACTCGACGCATAATAGCAGAAAAGTAAAACGTTGGCCTAGCCTAAAACTAGAGGTTGTTCTCCTAACAAATCATCTAAAGTGTGTGAAGTATGCTATGTAGTTTAGATATGTCATATATACGATAATTGATTGAAATTGTTTGGTGTTTTCATTAGTTAAAAGACTTAAGGGCTTTTAATTTGAATTTAAGTATTGATATTTTAATGTTATTCGTAAAATGTATTTAAAATGTTGAGTGATTACTATCTTTATTTACACAATAGTTAAAAAATTTACTTCACCTTATTTGGGGCTAAGTTAATAATATTGTAAGCCTAGATTACCTAGTAGTAACCATTATAATTAAGTTAATTCAACTGCTTAAGAATTAAGAGTTGATAAATTTTAATTAAATTGCTTGATTATTGATTTTAAGATTTGAATCAAAATTTTCTAGAGTTTGAGTTGATTATTGAATTTTTTAATTATTTGACTTTTTAAATGCATTAATTAAGTGGTTAAAATTTAAGTTTTTAAATTAAGGTGAATTATTGAGTTTTGATACTTTCCTAAATATTAAATACTATGATGAGAAATTAGACACTAAGTTTGTAGGAATTGAATTTTTCTACATTTCATTATGAAATTTTGAAATTTTGACTTAAATTTGAATTAAGGTTGACCAAAAATTTGACTTATTAACTTTGGATTATTTATGGTAGTTTGATATTTTTAATAAATATTAGACAAATAATAGAGTCTAATGCCTTTGAGTTTGCTCAATTTAAAATTTTCTTGAATTAATGTTAAATTTTAAAAGTATGATCAATTAATTGAATTTTTAAATTATTTAACTAAGGAGATTTTAAATGTCTTCATCCAAATTGATTTCAAACTTCTTGAAACCACTTCCAAAGGTCAGGAATGACCCAAAGAAATGTTCTCAAGTGTTTGAGAATTTTTTGAAAATTTTAATTACTTTTAATAATTAAAATATTTAAATATTGAATTAATTAAATAATTAACTTTTGATGATTTTTAGAAATTTACCCTAAGGCAAAGGGTGTCACTAAGTTTAAATGTTTTAAGTTTCATTCCTATCGGATGTAAATTTTATTTTCTAAATTTTTCTTAAATTCTTAAGATAGATTATTAATTATTGTCCTTAAGAGGCACTAAATTAAGTAGATTTAAAATCAATGTTCTACTAACCCATAAACAAATATAAGCAAAGTGCACATATCACATCAATCAAGAGCCCTAATCTAAGTGCATGTGCAAACCTAAGCATTGAAATCAAGATATAACTTAAGCAATTAGAAGGCTTAAGGAATATGTAATTAACAAGTTAATTTTCCATTAATCAATCCGCATTAAATCTATTC